CCATGGGCTGTACAGTGTGCCAAGAACAAAACCAAATATGTTGTTTACGCTTAGCGCCATTCGGCAAGATATATGCGGAAATTGCTGTGACGGTCACAAGCGTTACTATCCAGCAATCAATTGGAAAAGGTAATCCCAAGATTTCGAGTGCAATTTGAAATAAATGAGCCAGAGTAAACTTTTCACGAGCCCGTAGGGTGAGTGCAATTAGTAGTCTCTGAAACATTTTCAAGTGCTTATTTATTCCAAATTGTACGAGACCAAACATATGATTACTTGTTAATGATGCTCTTGACAACATACTAGGTCGTCTACGCATTGTTTCCTTAGGCTTCGAACATTTCCACAAATTTTAGCAAAACTTCCAAAAATGTTTGAAAGTCGTTAGCTGGCGAGCTTCGGGTGATCTGCGGCAATCTTCGGACATCACCGGAAATTTTCGCCATTATTCGGAAGGGTTCAGGGGATCTTCTGAAATGTTCGGAAAACGTCCAATTATCCTCGGCTATCTTCGGAAGGCTGCGGGTGAACTTCGTCAACTTTCGAAGTACCTCGGATTACCATCGGTAGTCACGAGTGTCTTCGTACTAACTTTGTAATTTGAACTGGTGTTTCAAATTTATACTCCTGTATCAAATTCGCACTGGTGTTATATGAAAACTGCACTCCTTTTTAATTTACCCAATCAGAATCAAGTATTTTTTTTCAATTAGTGTATTATTGGTATAAAGTAGCCAAATGATTTCGAGTGCAATTTGGAGTAAATAAGCTCAAGTAAATTTTTCAGACTAACAAAATTGCACGAGCTTATAGGGCGAGTGCAGTTTGTGGTCTTTGAAAAATTAACGAAAGCTTATTTATTTCAAATTGCACGAGAAAAATTATTTGATTACTTGATAATAATGTACATGCAATTTAATTTCAACTTTCTGCACTGTATTTGGGATTAATTGACGTGCTCTCAGCCGATCAGCATGCTGAAATTTTAGCATGTATGTTCTTAGAAATTTTACCAATTTGGTTTTTCTTTTTGGAAAAACTTCATATTGTCATCTTAAAAGAGAAACTATTGAACTTTGCTGGAATAACATATTCTTCATGACATTTGACTCTTAGCTAAAGGTGCATCGGAAGACAAGCCAACTCAACAAACTAGAAGTCCTGTTAAAGTTCTAGTTTTGCGAAGCCATTTACAAATACAAATGTAATGCAGATAACAAAGTATCACATTCCATCTGAAACTTTCCGAATATCGAGGTAACAAGGCCTTCAAGACCTTCAACAGTTTCGATCCTGAATTCCCAAAAAAGTCCTGACTCGAAATCCTTCCTTGATAGTTAATTTATCGCGAGTACTTTCTTTAGTTTTCAGTGTGGTTTTTGATCAGAGATTGGGTTGTAATATTAAGGATCAGCAACACTTCAAGTGCTTCAATTATGTATTTTACATTTGCCAAAAACGCCACTTCTTCCCCGGGGAATGGTTTAAATTTAGTAGCCGCCTTGAGAGGAGTGAACGTGACTCTGTCCAAAATACGGCAAATATCTGCAAATATTGGTTCTAATTATATTTTGTCTCTTTTTTTAGTTTCTTCGAATGTGAAAGATATTGGACTGGGAACATCAGACTATCTCCGTTTGACTCACAACAGCAAATGACTTCACCCTTCAAAAGGTTTTCGTTATTGCTTTGTAAAAGGTTTCTCAACTTGATCATCATTTCATGTTTCATCACACCAGCGGTAGCAAATTATTGGCGAGGAACATGGTACATTTTAGACTTGTTCGTTTTTCCAGCCGACAAAGTTTTGAGTGCCTCGTTTACATTCACAGCCAGCTTTGGAGCTATATTCTTGGTGATGTTTATCGAGGATTATATAAAAGAATTTTTAGATGAAAGAAAAGCGAGAAAAGGATTGTATCTTGTTCTCTTTTACC